TTTGGTTTTTCTCCGGTACCGGGAACCGAACTCACGACCTTGCGCTTGCCAGGCAGGCGCTTTGCCGCTGAGCTAAATCCCCAGCCCCCTAATCACTATCATTAGCAACAGCGGTTCACTCTAAGACCAATTTTAATCACCTGTCTTTCACACATAGGTCAATGTATCAAAATTCTCTCACAGATAATTTTGGAGAGAAGGTGCATTCTGTCATGACATCACGGCTGGCAATTCCCCCTCCTTTCGTCTCACTATTGGCAATCAATGCTTCACATTAAAAGATGGATAATAATTAAATGTAGCAATTTTTTTTTAAAATTACCCTTTCCCAAGCTGACATAGTCATTTCTAAACAACGTTTGATCATTTCTCAGACTGTTGGTGTGATTTTAATTCTAGATGTAATAGTTCCACTTTTGGACGTGACTGGTTGTATAACAAAAATATATTACAAAGCTTTGATATTTCTTCAGACGATATTTCTCCGGAAAACACCAGAGAGACACAAAAGACACATTTGTTTTCTTCTATTAAAATACATTAATTAAAGCAAGTAAAGTTTATTGGTAATTTTAATTTTATAAATTTACAGCAAAGTGGTTCAGTCAGGTTAATTATCTGCTGTTGTTTTATCAAAACAAATAAGTAGTTATTTTAAATGGACCTTATCATACATTTCTATGAGTTAATGCCCCATAATAAAATAAAATACATGATATTTAGAAATAATTAAAATTTGAATAAACTTACTTTTATGCAAAGTTAAACAGAAAATCCCTGAAACCTTTTTGTCACTGTTAAGATTTTCCGATGAATTTAGAAATACAAATACCTCTTATTGACCAGCAGAGGGCGATGTTACACTTATAAAGAGAACAAAATTTCACTGCTGCAGTGTGGAAAATTATCATCTAACTGCAGAATATGCCATGTGTGAACACATAGTGCGCATGACTATGAATGCATGTGTATATTTTGATTTATATATTCGTTCACGTGAAAATTTTAAAATTCCACCCCAGCTAATGAGCTCACCAACCTGCTTGTTTTCAGACTTTAATACCTTCTTTTTCATATTCCCCCATATGTTCAACTCCTTAGGTTTATCCGGTGACATTATGCTTTGGAATATATTGTGGATATATTTTGCATAGATCATGTTCTGTAGGAGGGGTTTAAAAATTGACCTTTATAAAACAGCCTTCTTCTCCCTAGCCCAATCTGTTGTAGCACTTTTTTTGTTGTTGTTGTTTTGTTTTGCCTT